CCATGGGGCGCAGTGGGGTGCACTGGGGTGCAGTGGGGCGCAGTGGGGAGCCATGGGGTGCAGTGGGGTTCCCTGGGGTGCCGTGGGGGGCAGTGAGGTGCAGTGGGGTTCCTTGGGGCTCCCTGGGGTTCCCTGGGGTGCCTCGGGGTGCAGCGAGTGTCCCCACAGGTGCTGTCAGAGCCCTGGCGCCTCTCCACCAGCCAGACCCCGCAGCAGCAGCTCAAGATGTTCGACCTCGAGAAATTCCCCAACCACGTCTCCAGCGGCGGCGGCTTCGGCCCCGTGAGCTCCGGGGGGCACCGGGGGCACCGGGAGGGCTCCGGGGGGCACCAGGAGGGCTCCGGGGGGTACCGGGGGGCACCGGGGGGCACTGGGGTGCGGGGGGGCTGTGGGCTCTGTACTGCATCCCCTCCGTGGGTTTGGGCCGGGAGTGCCCCACACTGGGAGCCCCCAGCCCCACATGGGTGACCCGGGGGGCTTCAACCCAAGCCCACAGCCCGGGTGGGTGCCCCAGGTGGGTCCCAGGTGGGTCCCAGGTGCCCCATGGCCCCTCTCCCCCCCGCAGGTGGCAGACGATGGTTATGGGGTGTCCTACATCATCGCCGGGGAGAACCTCATCACCTTCCACGTGTCCAGCAAGTTCTCCAGCCCCGAGACGGTGAGGGGGGAACGGGGGCTCCATGGGGGCTCTACCAGAATCCGTGGGGTCACCTGCGGGGTCACCTGTGGGTCTGGGGCAGCCCCTGACCCTGATCTAACCCTGCTGCATCCTGGCCCCCCCTCCCCTTCCTGTGGGACCCCCACCCCATCCATCCCAGGGCCATCCTCTGGGACCCTCCCCACATCCCGGTCACCCCCACCGGGGTGCGGCCCTTGCTGGGGCTCCCCCAGCTCCGGGGGTGCCCCAGGGTGGGCACGGGGGGGGTTCGGGTCTCCCTCTGGGCGCTCGGGGCGGGCTCTGAGCGGTGCTGCCCGCAGGACTCGCAGCGTTTCGGCCGCAACATCCGCCAGGCCATGCTGGACATCGCGGCGCTCTTCGACAAACCCCCCCCCGCCGCCGGGAAGTGACCGCGGCGGCTCCCGGGGGGCTTGGGGGGGCCGGGGGGCGCCGCCCCGGACCCGCTCCCAATAAAGGCTCTTGGTGTGACCCCGCCGTGCCACGGGGGGGACCCCGGGGGCGTCCGTGGGGTGCAGCCAGGGCTGGATCCATGGATGGAATGTCGGGGTGCATCCGTGGGGTGCCAGGGCTGGATCCATGGATGGAATGCTGGGGTGCATCCATGGGGTGCCAGGGCTGGATCCATGGAATGCTGGGGTGAATTCATGGGGTGCAGCCAGGGCTGGATCCATGGATGGAATGTCGGGGTGCATCCGTGGGGTGCCAGGGCTGGGATCCATGGATGGAATGCTGGGGTGCATCCATGGGGTGCCAGAGCTGGATCCATGGGGTGCAGCCAGGGCTGGATCCATGGGATGTGAGGGTGCATCCATGGAATGCCGGGGTGCATCCATGGGGTGCAGCCAGGGCTGGATCCACGGGATGCTGGGGTGCATCCATGGGGTGCCAGGGCTGGATCCATGGGGTGCAGCCAGGGCTGGATCCACGAGGTGTCCTCGGGGGCCAGGTGGGCACCAGCCAGGGCCGGTGAAGGCATCCAAAGGGCCATCCCTGGGGTGGTGACCCTGGTGGTCCATACCCAGCCCCACCCCACTGATCCATGCCCATCCCAGTGATCCATGCCCATCCCAGAAATCTGTAGCCATTCCAGGGTCCATGCCCATCCCAGTGATCCATGGCCATTCCCAGTTCCGTGCCCATCCCCATGCCCATGCTTGTCTGGGTGATCTGTGCCCATTCCCATCCTGATGATCCATGCCCATCCCAGAGATCCATAGCCATTCCCAGGTCCGTGTCCATCCCCGTGATCCATGGCAATTCCCAGATCTGTGCCCGTCCCGGTGATCCATGCCCATGCCCATTGCCCATGCCCATGTTTGGCCCGGTGATCTGTGCCCATGCCCATCCCAGTGATCCATGCCCATCCCGGTGATCTGTGCCCATGCCCATTGCCCATGTTTGGCCCGGTGATCTGTGCCCATGCCCATCCCAATGATCCATGCCCATCCTGGAGATCCAGAGCCATCCCAGTGATCCGTGCCCATCCCTGTATCCGTACCCATCCGGTGATCCGTGCCTACCCCTGTCCCAGTGATCTTCTCCCATCCCCAGCCCCGTGCCCATCCCCATGTCCGTACCCGTATCCATCCCGGTGATCCATGCCTGTCCCGGAGATCCGTGTCCATCCCAGTGCTCCGCGCCCGTCCCTGGATCTGCTCCCATCCTGGTGCCCCGTGCCCGTCCCGGTGCCTGTCCCCATCCGACTGTTCCGTGCCCATCCCCGTGCCTGTCCCCATCCCGCTGCTCCGTGCCCGTTCCCGTGCCCATCCCCGTCCCACTGCCCCGTGCCCGTCCCGGCGCCTGTCCCAGTCCCGCTGCTCCGTGCCCATCCCCATCCTGCTTCTCCGTGCCTGTTCCCATGTCTGTCCCCATCCCAGTGCTCCGTGCCCATCCCCGTGCCTGTCCCCATCCGGCTCCTCCATGCCTGTTCTGTGCCCATCCCCATCCCGCTGTTCCATGCCTATCCCCATCCCCATCCCCGTCCCGCTGCTCCGTGCCCATCCCCATGCCTCTCCCCATCCCGCTGTTCCGTGCCCATCTCCATACCTATCCCCGTCCCACTGCTCTGTGCCCATCCCCGGATCCGCTCCCATCCCGCTGCTCCGTGCCCGTTCCCGGCGCCTGTCCCAGTCCCGCTGCTCCATGCCCATCCCCGGATCAGCTCCCATCCCGCTGCTCCGTGCCCGTCCCGGTGCCCATCCCCGTGCCGGTGACGGGGGTGCTCAGCGGGGCACAGCGGCACGGGCGGGCCCTGCGCAGAGCCCTTGGGCCGTGTCCGGCCCGGGGGTCGCCGCGCCCCGGGTGGCGCCGCTGGCACCGTCCCCGCCCTCCCTCCCTCCCTGCCCGCCGCCACCGCCCGCAGCCGCCCGGCGCCGCCAGCCCGGAGCCACCGGCGGGCGAGGGGCCAGAGCGGGCACGGGCATGGGGACAGCCCGGGAGAGGGGACAGGGACCGGGACAGGGACTGGGGACACCCCGGGAGAGGGGACAGGGACCGGGGACAGGGACTGGGGACACCGCGGGAGGGGTGACAGGGACAGGGGACACACCAGGAGACGGGACAGAGCGAGCAGAGGGATGGGGGACATCCCCCGGAGAAGGCCATGCTGGGGACAGGGGCAGAGATCCCCCGGCAGAGGGGACAGACCGGGAACAAGGACAAAGAGCCCTCTGGGAGAGGGCCCAGGGACAGAGACCCCGTCCCCGAGGGCGTCCCCCCAACCTGGGGAGCGCCCCGTGGGGTCACTGTCACCCCCGGCACCGGGGCTGTGTCCTGCACCCCGGCCCCATATCGGGGTGACATCCCACACTCTGACCCCATATCGGGGTGACATCCCCCATCCCCACCCCATATCGGGGTGACATCCACCCCATATCGGGGTGACATCCCACACTCTGACCCCATATCGGGGTGACATCCCCCATCCCCACCCCATATCGGGGTCCCATCCCGCTGTCCCCACGCTGGGGCTGTGTCCCCCCCTGAGCCCCCACGGCCGGGGGGGGCTCGGAGCTGGCTCTGGACTGTCCTGGGTGCCGTGGGGACCCCGGGGTCACCGCTGGGCGCTGGGTGGGCTGTGCTGGGACCCCGGACCGCGAGGGGCTGTCTGTGTCCCTCGCTCCGTGTCCCTCGGTCTGTCTCTCTGTCTGTCCCTCTGTCTGTCCCTCGCTCCGTGTCCCTCTGTCCCTCGCTCCGTGTCCCCCGCTCCGTGTCCCTCGCTCCGTGTCTCTCGCTCCGTGTTCCTTGGTCCGTGTCCCTCTGTCTGCCCCTCTGTCTGTCCCTCGCTCCATGTCCCTCTGTCCCTTGGTCCGTGTCCGTCGCAGCCGCGCCCGCTCCCCCTCCCTTATCAGATCCCTTATCAGATCCCTTATCAGATCCCTCGTGTGAGCGCACCCCAGCCCGGCACCCCCGGCCCCTTCACCCCCCTGTCCCCACTCAGGGCACGCCGGGGATGGCCCTGTCCCCTCCCGTGTCCCGCTGTGTCCCCTCCCGGCCCGTGCCCGTGCTGGGGGCTCACACGGGGCAGTGCCCGGGCCATGCCCGAGCCCCCCCGGCCGCCGGGTGACCCCCGGTGCCCCGAGAGTGACCCCCGAGCCCGCCGGGGACCCCCGGTGCTGTCACGGTGACACCGGCGGTGCCCCCAGCGCCCCCCCGGGGGTCCCGGGCACCCCAAGAGCGGGGGCAGCGCCGGGGGCCTCGGGGGGTGCCCAGGGGGTGCCCAGGGGAGCGGCCCGGGGGTGCCAGCGTCGCTTTTGTCGCCGGTGCCTTTGATGCGGTGCCAGCGGCTCCACGAGCGGGTGCTCCCGGCCCGGCCCCCCCGCACCCCGCCCCCGCTCGGGCCTATAAAGGGCTCGGGGTGCCCCTGTCCCGTCCGCCGGGGCCGCTGCCGGAGCTGCGAGGTGCCGGGGGCTGGGGGGGACCCGGGAGGCCCTGGGGAGGGGTCCTGGGGAGGTCTGGGGGGGCTGGGGGGGTCCCGAGGGTGCTGGGGGGGTCCTGGGGGCGATGGGGAGAGTACTGGGAGTGCTGGGGGGGTCCTGGGGGAATCTGGGGGTGCTGGGGAGGGGTCCTGGCAGTGCCAGGAGGCTGGGGGTGCTCGAGACTGGTCCTGGGGGGGTCTGGGGGTGCTGGGGAGATTTCCTGGGGGTCCTGGGGAGGGTCCTGGTGGTGCTGGGGGTCCTGGGGTGAATGTGCTGGGGGCACTGGGGCAGGGGTGGGTGCTGGGGCAGCAGTGGGTGCTGCAGGGGTCGGTGCTGGGGCTGCAGGGGTGGGTGCCCGGCCGCCCCCCCGGCCCTGCAGCCCCCCCATTGCAGGAAGGCTGAGGATGGGTCCCACCACCTTCCTGGGGCTCTGCCTGCTGGGGTGCCTGGTGCTGGCCCCCTCCCTGCCGGGTGAGACCCCCAGACTGCACCCTGAGACCCCAAAATGTGCCCTGAGATCCCAAACTGCACCCTGAGACCCCAAAATGTGCCCTGATCCCCAAAACTGCACCCTGAGACCCCAAAATGTGCCCTGAGATCCCAAACTGCACCCTGAGACCCCAAAATGTGCCCTGATCCCCAAAACTGCACCCTGAGACCCCACACTGTGCCCTGAGACCCCAAACTCTGCCCTGATCTCCCAGACTACACCCTGAGACCCGAAACTGCACCTTGAGACCCCAAACTGTGCCCTGAGACCCCCGACTGCACCCCGAGACCCCCCCCGCACCCCGAGACCCTCCTGCCCACACCCTGAGACACCCCTACTGTACTCTAACCCTCCAAACTGCACCCGAGAGCCCCAAATTTCACACAGATCCCCCACCCACACTCTGAGACCCCCAAAGTGCCCCCTGCCCACCCTCTGCTTCCCACCCCCATCCCTTTGCCCCAGCCTCAGCCCCCCAAACAGGGACGGAGGTGCCCTGACCCCCCCGCAGCTGGGCTGGGGGGTGACGGTGACAGCCCTGTCCCCCCCCAGGGGCTGAGGCCACCCGGTGTCCCCGGGGGTGGCTGTCCTTCGAGGGACACTGCTACGGCTACTTCGGGCAGCAGCTGAGCTGGAGGAGGGCTGAGGTGGGTGCGGGGGGCAATGGGGGTGCCGGGGGTCCCCCCGACCCCCAGGGCCCCCCTGCAGGCGGCTGTGTCCCCAGGCGTGGTGCCAGGCCACCCGCGGGGGCCACCTGGCGTCGCTGCACAGCCCCGAGGAGCACCGGGCGCTCGCCGCCTTCCTGGCGCGGCGGCCGCGGCGCGGAGAGGACGACGAGGAGGGCGAGAAGGACCGGGACAGGGACAGGGACAGGGACAGGGACGAGAGCGTCTGGATCGGGCTGCACCGGCGGGTGGGTGCCTGAGCGAGCTGCGCCTGTCGGTACCTGTGTGCCTGTCGGTACCTGTCTGCCACTCCCCGGTGTCACACCCCGGTGTCACAGCCCGGTGTCCCCTGCCTGAGCCCTGCCTGTGCGCCCCAACCTGCCCCGAGCCCGCCCTGCCGCTCCTTCGTGTGTCCATGTGCCACCCCGGTGTCTGAGCCCTCCCTGCTCCTGTGTCCCCCTGTGCCCCTGTGCCCTCTGTGTTCCTGTGCCCCTGTGCCCCTGTGCTGTGCCCCTGTCCCCCTGTGCCCCCTGTGCCCCTGTGCTTCTTGTGCCCCCTGTGCCCTCTGTGTTCCTGTGCCCCTGTGCCCTCTGTGTTCCTGTGCCCCTGTGCCCTCTGTGTCCCTGTGTCCTTGTGCCCCTGTCCCCCTGTGCTGTGCCCCTGTGCCCCTGTCCCACCTGTGCCCCTGTGCCCCTGTGCTGTGCCCCTGTCCCCCTGTGCTGTCCCCCTGTCCCCCTGTGCCCCCTGTGCCCCCTGTGTCCCTGTGCCCCTGCGTCCCTGTGTCCCTGTCCCACCGGTGTCCCTGTGCCCCTGTGTCCCTGTGCCCCTGCGTCCCTGTGCCCCTGTCCCACTGGTGTCCCTGTGTCCCTGTGTCCCTGTCACAGCGCCAGGGCTGGCTCTGGGCTGACGGGTCCCCGCGGCACTACTGGGCCTGGGAGGGGGACGATGGCCCTAAGGGACATCCCTGCATCGCCCTGGAGGACTCGGCAGGTGAGGGGGGCACTGCAACCCGGGGCTGGGCACAATGGCCTGGGGACAATGGGCTGGGGACAATGGGCTGGGGACAGCCTTGTGCCACACTGGGGGACTCAGTGGTGAGGGGACCCAAGGGTTGGGGTGCCAGGGAAGGTCAGGGAGGGTCAGGGAGGGACAGGGGGGGGACAGGGGGGTCAGGAGGTGTCAGGGAGGGACTGGGGTGTCCGGGGGGCTCCAGGGCTGTCAGAGTGTCCCGTGTGTCCCCTGTCCCAGCCCTGGCTCGTGTCCCCGCAGGGTTCATGGCCTGGGAGGGCGAGGCCTGTGGGGAGCGCAAACCCTTCATCTGCAAATACCCGGCCTAGGGGCACCAGGACCCCCGCGCAGCCCCCCGACTTTGGGGCCTGACCCCCACCCTGCATCCTGCCCCCGAACCCCATCCCAGACCCCAATCCCTGCTCCCAACCCCACCCCTGCTGTGCTGCCCCCCAAATCCCACCCCCCAATTCCACCTCCTGTCCCCCAAATCCCCATCCCAGACCCCAATCCCTGCTCCCAACCCTGCCCCTGCTGTGCTGACCCCAAATCCCAGCCCCCCAATTCCACCTCCTGTCCCCCAAATCCCCATCCCAGACCCCAATCCCTGCTCCCAGTCCTGCCCCCAAATCCCACCTCCTGCCCCTGACACCCCACACTCTGTCCCCCAAACCCTGTGTCCTGTCCCCCAGATCCCAGCCCCTTGGCCACCCCCAAACCCCAGCCCCCAAATCCCAACCCCAGCCCCCCCAGCCTTTGGACCTCTGCCCCCCAACCCCACATCCTGCCCCCATCCCAAACCCTGCCCCCCAATCCCCTCCTTCCCCAAACCCCTGTCCCGCACCCCAATTCCCACCCCCCGGCCCCCCTACACGGAGACCCCCAATAAAGTGACCGAAGCACCGGGATGTCCCCGTGTCCCTTTGCTGTGTCTGCGCCCCACGGGTGACACCAACAGGGGACGGGGACCCTCAGTTCCCCATGGGAGGTGGATGGGGGCCACGAGTGGAGGTGTCCCCAGGACAGAGGTGTCCCCAAGGGAAGGGTTGTCCCCAAGGCAGCCCCTTGGGGTCTCAGCCAGTTTCTGTGTCCCCATGTCCCCCCATGTCCTTGTGTCCCCCTGTCCTCCTGTGTCCCCCATATTCCCATGTCCCCACATCCCCTGTGTCCCCCCTGTCCCCATGTCCCCTGTCACCCCTTCACCCTCTCCCTGTGTCCCCGTGCCCTTTCCATGTCCCCCCTATGTCCCCATGTCCCCCACGCGTCATTCACATCCAGGTCTCCCTGTTCCCCTGTCCCCCACTGTCCCCATGTCCCCTCCTGTCCCCTCCCGTCCCCCTGTCCTTGTGTTCCTGTGTTCCTGTGTCTCCATGTCCCTCCTGTCCTCTCCACGGGGTCCGGGGGGGGCTCATATATGGGGTTCTGGGGGTTCAGATATAGGAGCCGAGGGGTGCATCCAAGGGGTGCCAGGGGTGTACCCATGGGGTGTATTTTTGGGGTGTGCTCATTGGGATGTACCCATGGGGTGTATTTTTGGGGTGTACCCATTGGGATGTACCTATGGGTTGTATTTTGGTGTGTACCCATGGGTTGTATTTTTGGGGTGTACTTATGAGCTGTATTTTTGGGGTGTACCCATTGGGATGTACCCATGGGGTGTATTTTTGGGATGTACTCATTGGGATGTGTCCATGGGGGCGCCGGGGTTTATCCATGGGGTGTATTTTTGGGGTGTACCCATGGGGAGTATTTTTGGGGTGTACCCATTGGGACGTACCCATAGGGTGTATTTTTGGGGTGTACCCATTGGGACGTACCCATGGGGTGTATTTTTGGGGTGTACCCATTGGGATGTGTCCATGGGGTGTATTTTTGGGGTGTACCCATGGGGTGTATTTTTGAGGTGTATTTTTGGGATGTACTCATTGGGGTATACTCATTGGTTGTATTTTTGGGGTGTACCCATTGGGATGTACCCATGAGGTGTATTTTTGGGGTGTACTCATTGGTTGTATTTTCGGGGTGTACCCATCGGGATGTACCCATGGGGGTGCCGGGGTTTATCCATGGGGCTCCCAGCGTTCCTTCCCGGCGCTGTCACTGTTGTCACCGCGGGGTGCTGAGCGCGCAGGAGGGCCAAGCGCTGGAACCCCGGGGCCGTTGTGACACCACGGCCACCCCGCCGCCGCCGGCGCCCGCGGCCCCGCAGAGTCCCTTGTCACCAGGGCGCCGCTGCCACCAACACGGCCGTCCCCGCATGCCGGCGCCGCTGCGCTCGCCCCGGGCAGCCCCGCCGGGGGTACCCGCGCCTGCCCCCGAGGCCACCGGCCGGGGGCCCGAGCCTGAAGCGGAGACGCCCCCAGCGGAACCCCCCATGCCGAACGACGCCTGGGTGGGCCCCTGGAGACCCCACCGGCCCCGAGGGCCCACCTCGGCCGCGTACGGCAGCCCCGGGCCCAAGTACGGGATCCCCGGCGGCATCGGTGAGTGCGGGACCGCGGGGCCCGCGGGGGACGGGAGCCGGGGGGGCCGAGTCCCACGGAGCCCCTGCCCGCCCCCAGGCAAAGACCAGCGCAACCCCTCCGGCCGCCGAGCCCCCGCCTACACCTTCGGCATGAGGCTGGAGGGCCCCGAGGAGCCGCGCTCCCCCGGGCCCCAGTACCTGGTGCCCCCCGGCTGCACCGCCCGCGGCCCGGAACGCGGCCCCGCCTTCACCATGAGCGGCCGCCCCCGAGAGCGCCGGGCCAGCGACACACCCGGGCCAGGTGGGTGAGAGTGAGGGAGTGAGGGGGTGAGTGAGTGAGTGAGTGAGTGAGTGAGTGAGTGAGTGAGTGAGTGAGTGAGTGAGTGAGTGAGTGAGAGAGTGAGTGAGTGTGAGAGTGAGTGAGTGAGTGAGTGAGTGACTGACTGACTGACTGACTGACTGACTGACGGACTGACTGACTGACTGACTGACGGACTGGCTGAATGACTGACGGACTGAGTGACTGACTGATGGACGGACTGACTGACGGACTGAGTGACTGACTGACTGACTGAGTGACAGACTGACGGACTGAGTGACTGACTGACGGACTGAGTGACTGACAGACGGACTGACTGAGTGACTGACTGACGGACTGACTGACTGACTGACTGACGGACTGACTGACTGAGTGACTGACTGACGGATGGACTGACTGACTGACTGACTGACAGACTGACTGACTGAGTGACTGACTGACGGACTGACTGACTGACTGACTGACGGACTGACTGACTGACTGACTGACGGACTGAGTGACTGACAGACGGACTGACTGACTGACGGATGGACTGACTGACTGACTGACTGACTGACGGACTGGCTGAATGACTGACGGACTGAGTGACTGACTGATGGACGGACTGACTGACTGACTGACTGACTGAGTGACTGACTGACGGACTGATTGACTGACGGACTGACAGACTGACTGACTGACGGACTGACTGACGGACGGATGGACTGACTGACAGACTGACTGACTGACTGACTGACTGACGGACGGACTGACCGACTGACGGACTGACGGACTGGGTGAGGGGCCGCAGCCCCGGCGGCGGGAGCCCCGCGCGGTGCCGCAGCTCATGGGGCTGACCCCGCTGTCCCCTTGCAGCGCATTATTCCCCAGAGCAGGCAACCAGGGTGACGCTGCCCTCGGCCCCCGCCTGCTCCGTGAGGTCCCGCAGCCGCCCGGACAAACCCCAGCAGACGCCAGGTGAGCCAGGGAGGGGGGCGGGACGGGACCCCCGCGTCCCCCGGGCTAGGACCCCGTCATACCCCTGGGGCTGGGCTGGGCTGAGGCCTCCAACATCGCACCTGGGCTGGGATCCCCATCATTCCCCGTGTGTTGGGCTGGGATCCCCATCATTCCCCGTGTGTTGGGCTGGGACCCCCATCATTCCCCCTGTGTTGGACTGGGCTGGGATCCCCGTCATTCCCCCTGTGTTGGGCTGGGATCCCCATCATTCCCCCTGTGCTGGGCTGGGCTGGGACCCCCATCATTCCCCCTGTCTCGGACTGGGCTGGGATCCCCATCATTCCCCCTGTGCTGAACTGCACTGGGACCCCCTCATCTCCTCTGGGCTGGGCCCCCCATCTCCTCCTCCTCTGGGCTGGGATCCCCCATCCCCCTGGGCCAGACTGGGCTCCCCAACATCCCCTGGTTGGTCTGACCTGCCCAGCGCCCCGAGGCTGAGCCTTCCCTCCCAGGCCGTGGGAGGCTGAAGCCCCGTGTCCCCCTGAGCCGTGTCCCCTCCTCAGGCCCTGCCACCTACCAGCTGCCACCCGTGGTGGGCCCCCGCCTGGTGCACAAGACATCGACCCCCCAGTACACCATGACAGGGCGAGGCCGCAGCATCTTCGACGACGATAAAAAGGTGGGGGCTGGGAGGGCCAGGGGACTGGGGGGGCAGGGGGCTGGGGGGGCAAGTGCAAAGGGACTGGGGTGCCGGGGGACTGAGATCTGGGGTATCAGAATCCTGGGGAGCTGGGGTACCAGGGGACTGAGATCTGGGGTATCAGAATCCTGGGGGGCTGGGGTACCAGGGGACTGGGATCTGGGGTATCAGCATCCCGGGGAGTTGGGGTACCTGGAGTGTGGGGTGCCAGGGGTCTGTGGGGTTGGGGTACCACAGAGTCTGGAGTGCCACGACTGCGGGGGGCTGAGTGTGGGGTGCAGGGTCTCGGGGTACCGAAGGTGTGGGGTGTCCCGGGCGTGACGTGACCCGCCCCTGTCCCCGCAGACCCCAGGACCCAACAATTACTGCACTGTGGACACCAACCTGTACATGGCACGGGCCCCCCGCTGCACCATAGTGGGGCGGACCCACTCCCGCCTGACCTCCAACACGCCCAGCCCCAGCGACTACTACCCCAAGCCGGTGAGCGGGGACGGGGACGGGGACAGGGCTGGGGGACAGGGACCCACAGCCCCTCACCTTCACATCGCCCCTGTCCTCCCGCAGGACCGCAAACAAGGACAGACCTTCGGTGTGCGCCACTCGGAATCCGTGGTCCCCGTGATGGACTTGCAGCTGTAGGAGAGCGGGGACGTGGGTGTCGCTGTCAGCCTGTGACAAACACGAACCACAGCAGCACTCGCTCGCTCTCCTTCTGTCCCGCTGCGTCGCACGGGGGCCGGGGGCTCCCCTAAAGCCACACTTGGCCCATCCCGAGGGAGACCCTGGCAAGACCACGGAGAGGGACCCCATGGTGGGGTGGGACGTGCCAGGAGTGAGGGATGTGCTGCCAACCCCCTCCCTGCTCCAGTCCCATCCCACCCAGCACCTCGGGGCACGGGGGGCT